ATATATATATATATATATATACACATACAAGTAGAGGTACATGAATGACAAATACATTTTTCTTCCACATTTTGCAAACATGTAGAACTCAAATTTTGAAAAAATAATGAAAGACCATCGTTCTCACCAAGTCAGTGAATAGATTTATTAAACATTAAACTGCCACTGCTCAAGAATAGTGCTCCCTCTTTTCTACGCAAAGATTCCTCAACTTTATAAACTTGCTAAAAATACATACGAACATGAGCATTCTTTATAGGATGTCATTAAAAAAAAAGAAACGAACATGTAGATAGCTTCGACCCTCTAAAATGGATTTTACAGCGAGTACTTGCATACAATCAAGCCTTATACATCTTTCTTCAATTAATGCTTGCCTGATCAACTTTGGCGTTGACCAGATGACAAGGACATGTGGTTACTTGAGGGAGGCATTGCGCTGCCAAGAGCGAAATGCTCGCAGCTAAAGGGATTTGAAAACAATTAATGCTTAATTTTTGGAACAGGAAAACAGATAGTAAGATAGAATACTGGAGTCGTCTTCTTCTTCCTTGCGTTCCCCCTGCTAGATCTAAGGGGTAGGTGACAGCTGGTGGTTCTTCAACCTGCACTGCAACGGATTTTGACATCTTTCCTACTTTGTAAGGCCGCTCGCCTCCAGGCCGTCACATTCCCATTTCAAAGGTACTCTTATATGTTTTCATAACTGACTGACTGGAGTATTTTCAGTTTTGAGAGGAATCAATTTTTACCCCAAAAAAGTGCATAAAAAAAGCAAAAATATAGATATCACTTCATCAGTTTTTGTACCTGTGTTTGAGGAATAGGAAATTTTTATTGAAGCTAGATATCCGTACAACTTTCGAAAGATCTAGTAAAAGATGCAAAGATCTTTTTTAAAAAAAGGGCTTGTTTGTATTAGTAGAGGTTTTACGGCGCTAGCAACTGCATAAGTTCATATGAGTGCCAAGGGGTGGATGTCAACAGAGAAGTCCTTACAGGGAATCAGACTTACTCTGCTCACCTCTCTAGCCTCAACAGCACAAAGTCTGCTTCGACTATCAAGGCACTCCGTTAATAGAGGGTCTCAAGAGTGTGACAAACATACAAAAAAGTAGAGGAAAATGACGATAGTAAGGATTAGGAAAGATAAACAGCAGTTCCCTGTTGCAGTTCAGGCAGATATGAGCACGGAATTGTTGGATAAGCCCATTTACAATTCTACTGTGCATTAGTACGAGAAAATTTGGAAATGGCCTAAAGACACTTCAGTCAGTGGCACCGCCCCGGGGGTTAAAAAAAGGGGAAATAGCCACCAACATACTTATTACAAGAACAGACAGTTCAAAGACTATAACACATCAATAGGTGAAAGTGCTGACTTACGAGAACCACTCCTGGGAAAACCCCTTCAAGCGGAGGAAAACGTTGCCTTGGACCGAGTCCACCGCAAAGTCACACGATGGACGGAACAGCAAGGAGCTGGGGTGAGAGTCGGCGCGGGAGAGAAGAACATAACCCCTCACTTTGCCTGGGGATGACAATAGTAAGAACAATAATAATGATAATAATAATAGTTTTTTTAGTAGAGCTTTTACGGCGCTCGCAACAGCATGAGGTCATATGAACGCCAGTAATAATAATAATAATGATAATAATAATAATAACAATAATGGGAATTTATATAGCCCCTAATCCCTAGAAGGCTGTAAGTGCTGTGCAATGCAGAATTATCACTCAACCTGACGGACAAATCAACAGACAGAAAATGCACATTCTGAGGCCATTTAACAACATACACACACACACACACACACCCACACACACACACACACCCACACACTTACACACACCCACACACACTTACATAACTCTCAAGGGCAGACCAACACACATTAACACATGATACAAAATTCACTAGCATAGCATAGTAAAGCCTAAACTAAGTGTCACACAAAAAAAACAACCCAACACAGAACATGTGTTCAATTGTTCTCTAAGCCCAAAAAGCAAAATTTTTCAGGAGAATGAAAAATCTGTTTCATTCAATTAGAATTTACTCTCAAATTATGTATCCGTCCATTTTTATTTTCAATTTCCAAAAACCATTTCTGCAAAATATGCAACTAATATGACAGACTTAGAAACTGCAATTTTTAAAAATTCAACATTTTGAGTTCAGCACATTTGAACAGCCTGTCAACAATGTACGGGCCGGGTTCAAAACCACAGAGAAAAGAAGGAGAAGAGATAAGGACTATATATATGATAGAAGGAATAAACCACACCAGAGCACCTTCCAACCACCATGTCAATAACATCAACTGTATAAACACAAAAACTTTCATCAAAGTAGCTTTGGACTGAACTTCAAACTCTACTAGAAACAAATCCATTCATAAATTTCAAAGGTTGAGGGATGGCACAGTCTGAGCAAATAACAGTCGAATCTGATCTAACAGCCAACTGCTCATAACAACTACCCGTTCAAATAACCACTTCCTAATTCCTTCTTGCATTTTTTCTTTATCATATAAAATGACACTACCTAAGATAACCACGTCTCTGGGATGACCATTTTCATATATATATGTGGTTAATTTGGGCAGTTTTGACTAAACTTGCATGTCTATAACAAGGCAGAAATAATACCAATAATCAACAAGAAAAACCTATCTCATTAGAAATAAAAACGACAAAACCAAAAATTGACATACACACCAGTTGACCTTTAAGACCTAGAGATTTGATTGAGAATAGATTATACATCTGGAAGTGCACTGAACACTCTGTAGGCTCGAGACTTTCCACGCTTAAATGGCAGTTACCTGTGTCTTTATCGACCGTGTTCATGGCATCCCACAGAGTTTGAAGAGGTATCCAGTGAGGTGGATATTTAAACCGAGCTGTGTCCAAAATGAGAACCAGGTCTCTATCTTTGTGATACCTGAGAAAGACAAAAGTGAAAGATGAGAGAAGATATTATCAATTAAAATAATTTCAGTACCTGGTAATTCATCTGCAGTTTGTAGAAGTCTTGATATAATACTCGTATCTCTAACATTTCTAAAAGGGAAAAAAGGGTGGTTCATAATAAGTTTTATTTTTTTTCCCTTTCCCTCAGTTATTCCTGTCTGTCTATCTTGTTTTATCCTGGGCTGAAAGGACAAAACTTCATCAATGCCCTTCTCTTACAAATATACATGAAACGGTAAGCACACACACAGGCATACACACAAGTTTCCCTTCACAACTACTGACAAAGAGATCAAGTACATATATAAGATAAATTAAACATACACAGTGCTATTAAGAAAAGTTAGCAATAAATCAAAAACATTTGAGATTCAGTTCAGTTGGTGCCAACACATATCTGACAACTTTCTAAATGTGTCACAACATGGTGGAACCAGGCACTCGTCAAATTTTGGGCATACAGAGTTATTCATATCATCTTAAAAGTTTGTTCATTTGTTTTGCATTTTGTGAAAAAAAAACCCACATGTATCTTGAATAGAAGTGGAGATATTTGTGCTCGCAGGTGGTGGGGTCGCCTGGTGTAAGACGTAAAAACTTGAGAGAAAATGGCCACCAAAGGTTGGTGACCTGCAAAACTTGAGAGTCCTTGGAAACTGGAAATTTTAATTTACATTTTTCGTGCCTTTAATTTAAGTTTTTCTGCAACATCTTCTCAGCAATGCGCTTTTAAACGGGTATATAAAGAAAAGGTGTTGATCCAAAAATAGAAAAATTGAAAAAAGTTGCCCAACATCCAGAAAAATGCTGTTTTCTTTGATTTCAATGTTTTGACGAGCGCTTGATTTCACCACACCACGCTGCCTCACAAATAAAAGAACACATTATTCCTTTTAAATATTACGGGGGTTATGTACCAGAAACTCCAAGGATAAGGGAAAATCTCCGGAGAAGACTTGGTGCAGACATAACGAGGTCTGAACTGTAATTGAAATTGTCGATTTCTTCAATGCCCACATTGCCATAATTTAAATCATCTAGAAGGTGATCTCCTTTGAGCCTACCTGTCAGCTCCAACCCGCGTTGTGAGGAATAGAACATCTTAGCAGAAAGACGGGATACTTGATAAAACTTCTCCCCACACAGGGCCTGAACTCGCGTCTTCTGCGTGCGACAGCAAAACACTTAACCACTTAACCACAGATACCTGTTACAAGGAATCTGTCAGTTGTACAACTTCATTCACATGATAGAAAGGTGGAAAAGGGAAGCCCTTTTTCGTGTTTTTCAACACTATAAGCATTTGTGTCCACTATGATGAAGTGGTTAACAGACTTACGCCAAATTCGTCACAACTGTAAAAAAAAAAGTCACAACTGTAAAAAAAAAAGTCACAACTGTAAAAAAAAAAGTCACAACTGTAAAAAAAAAAAGTCACAACTGTAAAAAAAAAAAAGTCACAACTGTAAAAGAAAAAAAGTCACAACTGTAAAAGAAAAAGGACGTCTACATCAACAAAGGTGACAAACTGGCAACAGAAAACAAATCCAGAACTTTTTGGACCCCGCGGAAAAGTGTGTGCGGGGACTCAAATATTATATATATCATATTGTTTAGCACATCTTGTATCAAAACTATTTTCATATAACGTGCATTATGACAAGCATTTAGAGATTAGAACATAAATAAGTCAGGTAAAATCCTAACATTTTCAAAAATCTAGATTTTCTGATTTATCCAGAAAATCACCACATCTGCCACATAATGTGGCAGTTATCCTAATGGGTTACTCCTCCATTCACATTATTAATTATCTGACAGATAAAGATATAACAATAACTCAATACCCTGCCACAGGCGAGAAATGTCCGTCTCCCGTCTGTTCCAGCAACTTTCTCGAGTAACTAGAGATGAAGACCAGGTCATCTTGAGAACAGGCAGAGAGCACCTGTCAATGGTGAAATTATCACAAATCATTTTCTTCGTGCTTATGCTTTGGTATTTGATTTTGATCAAGTTAAAATGTGAGGCGTCTTGATGAAATCAGGCGCTCGTCAAAGTCATAAAATCGAAGAAACCGGCATTTTGCCACCTGTTGGGCAAATTTTATTCACATTTTTGCTTTGGTATCTATACCTTTTATGCTCCTTTAAAACACATTCTTGAGTGGAATTTTACTGAAAAACCTTTATCAAAGGCACACAAAATGTAAATTTGTAATTTTCTAAGACCGCTACGGCTTTGGAAGTCACCAAACTTTGGTGGCCATTTTCTCGTTAGTTTTTATCTCTGACATCAGGTGACCCCACCTCCTTCGATTGCAAATATATCTCGATTTCTGTTCAAGATACACAAGCATTTTTTTTTTAAATCAAAAGAACCAATAACTTCATATATGCCTAAAAATTGACGAGCGCCTGATTCCACCGCATCGAGACACAAATGTTTATTTTTCTGTTGTTATTTTAAGACATGTGACGATTAGAGAAAAAATCCTGACATGTTGCAAAAGTCGGCTCCTACAACGAGGATGGCCGTTCTTGTATCACAAAAAGTTCAGTAAAATGAACGACAATAAATGGCACAAATCAGTTACATACTCAGTGGTCAGAAATAGCTAACTCAATGGAAAAAACAAACAAAAGAAGTCTAGATATAGATCTATATGAGTCTTCCCCTTGAGTGAGAGCCAGGTGAAGCCAGTTAACAGTAACGTGTTCAGCTCTTTAACCCTCAAAAGAACTAGAGAAGTTTAAACATAAGTCTTTCCACGCTGCTCCCTGCGCACAGTACCACGGATCTATAAATGACCAAACAAATGATTAAACAAATTTTAATGTGCATGAAAACATTTTATAAAAACAGACACATTTTTCACGACTGAAAAAATCATCAATGTTTTCTTCTTCTTCTTCTTCCTCGTTCTCGATGACAGCAGCTAGACAGTCAGTCCGATGTCGCACACAAACTGCAGTTCACTTCATCTCTGAGAGACTGCCATAGAGATAAATAAATAAATATGTTTAAAATCCATCACTCATATCATGAGCCCCTTTTATTTACACACAAATTTGAGCAATCTGGCAATGGTGAGCCTAGAAGTATATATATACATTGGTAAGTAGTCAGGGCACTTACATCCTGGCGAAGTTCATCCAAGGACAAGATAGCTGAAGCTATCCGAGCTCTCGCATTGAGACCGTTACATCTGGCAAGGCAGACAAATTGTTCCATGTTTATTCCTTTGACCCGGGCCACGTCAAGAGGGGTGCAGCAATCGAGCATATCTTCGTGGTACCATCTCCATGATCCTATGAAACACATTTAATATCAGTATTGGTATAGTTGTGTGTGTCTGTGATTGCGTGTGTGCGTGGTGAAACATCACACCAAAGAGCCAGCATCTGAACAATCAAGATTTTTATCTTATAATTTCTTTTGTCATTTGAATCAGATTGAACTGAAACTAAGTAAGGAACAAGTCTCGAATAATTCAGAAAAAAAAAAATCGAGACGAGGCTTTAGCCCCTAAACAAGCACCAGCAATGTCCCTTAATCTTCCTTCCTAGACTCAATGCATTCATCACATCCTCAACTGAAAGGGGAAAAAGCAGTTGTTGTAAAATCACAGAAGAGTTTTAATTTAATATATTACTATTTTAAAGAAATCCTTACCCTAATGCGTATCGAAAGAACTGAATAAAATGCATTACAGTAATACTTATTACAGGAAGCACTGATCGAACTACCTTTCCAAATCTTTCCTGGATCAATCTCCAGTGCATTTAGAGCCATGACTAGGGATGTGAGGCCGCAGTAAGCTGGTTCATCCTGCGTGCGGAACTGGGCACAGAGCTAATGATGAAAAAATGAGCAATGAGAAAGCAATGGTTTCAGTATGTCAATGAAAAAATTGAAATTAATGAGAAAAGTAATTAATATGAAATGATTCCATTTTGAAAGTGAAATTGACATTTTTCTGACCGTGGGCAACTTTTTTCTCTTCGTTTTTTGGCTCAACACCTTTAACCCATTAAAAAACACATACAAATTTCTGAGTGGATTTCAAGAAAAACATTGATTAAAGGCACAAAAAAATATCAATTTTCAGTTTCCAAGAACTCTCAAGCTATGGAAAAATTGACCAAACTTTGGCGGCCATTTTCTCGCTAAATTTCAACTCTGAAACCAGGCAACCCTGACCTCCTTCAATCACAAATAATTCGACTGCTATAATTAAACATAGATGGATATTTTTTTCACCAAAGGCAAGGCAAATGAACAGGTTTTAAGATGATACCACAATAACCTGGACAAATGCCCACAAATTAATCAGCGCCTGATTCCACCACGTTGCGTCAAAGAGATCATCTAGACTTATAAATCTTTTTAAAATAAAAAACATGTCTTGGTCATAATATATACTGAACTGATCTATAAATTAACATTGATGTAAGGGAGTGTATACACTATACACAGACCCGGTAACCGAGAACAAAGTCACGAAGTATACAGACCCGGTAGGGGAAATTTTTTGTGATTTCAGAAAGTTTCAGCGCCCTCTTGGCTCAGGGTAGACCTACCTCCTAGGTTCTTCTTGATCTATGGTCTAGGTTTAGATCTAGACAGTTAGTAGACAGACAGACATAAATCATAGATCTAGTTTCGAGGCCTAGATCTAGATCTAAATGAAGACTGCGAATGTCTTTTCGATGAACCATCGTTTTTCCTCCGTTTTGGAGTTGGAAGAATCAATTAGACAATTTGAAGAAAAGAGAACAATGTCATAATTTCAATCGAGCAGTCACCCTCTTTATTTCTCGGTCTCTGTCCCCTCTTTTTTGCCTGCCCCTCTCTCTCTATGTATCGCTCGTCTTCTCTTTCTCTTTGTTTGTCTCTTTCTTTCTCCCCACCTACTTCCCCACTCTATCTTTCTCTCGTTCCCTCCTGTCAACTGGGGCATGTGAAATGTGATATTTGCTAGGACTTCCCCCTGTTCTCTACCCCCTCCTCTCTCTCTCTCTCACACACACACACACACACACTATACCGGGTCTGGGTGCTGAAACTTTCCGAAATCACCCGGTTACTGGGTCTGTATATATTCGTTGATGTAAAAACGCTCTATATATATTATAAAAATAAAATCTAGGCTACAATCAATTTAATCCCAGTTGTTGCAACCAAAACAAACGGAATCAAAACTGTAAAATAATTCTCACCTTGAAAAAAGAATTCATGAAGCCCCCAGACAGAGCCTCCGTAAAGATAACTTTACCTTCCTTTGAGGCAAAGTCGATGCATTTTATAGGCAGCTGACGTCTATAAAACTGCATGGTTTTCTTTTCAATAGCCTTGGGTTGCATCTTTGTACACAGTCAGTGTCATTTGCGACACGCTCTAGGAGGGAAAAGAGTCAAACTGTTAAATTTTACAGTTCACAGATGACTGATAAATTTAACCGGCACAATTGCACACGGTCTGTAGCATTGCTATGAAGGCCTACTTACTTACAACAGTTTAGGCTTGGGAAGCAATCTTATAACATGTCTTATCTCTACAAACCTTGACTTTGACAGTCGATTTAGTCCAGGTGTTCTAGATCTAGATCTAGTTTGGCCTACCAGTTACCAGAATACCATCAGCCCGGAGTACTGCAAGTGTCTACTAAAAGACTAAGATCTAATCTAGAATCTTACTGTGCACAGTACTCTTCAGGGATGATTGAACAGTAAAAAAAAAAGCATTCCTCTTTCAAAGAAAGACGCTGGCCTAAAAACAGCCTCTCGCTATTATTGTATAAAAATATTTTAAATTATAAATTATTTTATACTTGAAAAGAGTAAACATTGATTCTGTCTACCTTGTCTACAAAGAAGATTCTAGACGTCTTGCTCCATGTTCTTTCCCCTGCTTCAGTAATCTTACACACCTAAATCTATAGATCTAGTCTAGATCTATTAACAGAGAAAACCACACTTTTCAGATCTAGATATATAGAGATCTAGATATCTAGATCTAGATCTAGATATCTAGATCTAGATTAAAATTTAAGATTTTTAATGTTGTTCAGGCATTCGGGTACGTTTTCCTTTGTTCGGACAGAGTAAAATTAAATGTCAAGGTTAACAATCATCTCCCCTGGCCAGGTTAAAGACTGTTTGATTACCGCCCCTCTTTCTGAAACCGATGTTGGACATTGGTTGCAAAGAGGTTAAGTGAGGCTAGATAGCTGCACTGCACACTCGCGCATATTATTTCCTGTTCCGAGAGGAATGCACCATTCGACTCGATTGGCGCCAAATAAAGAAAAAACAACGGAGAAGTGGCCATCCCCTTTCGACTATAGAAAAAATAGTGTTTTACCTTTCATGTCGAGGTATCCTTACGGCCCATGTTATGCATATTTTGCAGAGATCCAAATCAAGTGTGACAGCCATGACAGTATACACTTTAGGAGTAGACGTCTATGGTTTGTTGTGGCATTTGTTGTATGGCAGTAGTTGCAGTCATAGTATCGCGGTCATCAACTTCCTTTCCTTTCCGTCACTCCGTCAGACTCAGACAGTAGGACAGGACAGTACAGAGGCCAGCTAGCTAGCCTCTAGGCCAAGCCAGTAAAGAAATTAATAATGCTCTTTGGCTACATCTCTAGTCGCACCACTGTCCTAGGTCAAAATCTGATCTGACTTATGCTGAATGAAGAGACGTAGATTCTAAATCTGGATGTCTGAGCTGCTGATGAATTGTGAGTGTGAGTTCGACCCTCTCGACTCTCAGTCTCAGTCTCAAAAGTAAATAAAGAGTTCTAAGAGCTACAAACACTTTCTGCTTCTTAAGTTGGCCTACTGAACTGTAGGCCCTACTCCTCACAGAACTTGTCTAAAAAGACTAAAGGCTAAGCTGTTTTATAGATTTTATATATTAGTCGTGTATGCATGTGATTATGATATACAGCTTTGCCTGGGTGGTAGACTTACAGGGATGCCAAAATTGTCATTGAAATTATTGATTGGGGGGTGATTGGGGCGGGTCGGGATGTTTGCTAGCCAGATTGAGGGCGCAAAGCGGCTATCATGGCCCGAGCCGATCACACCCGACTGGTCGTCTCTAAAACAAACTTGTTTTCAGATGACGAGTGGGGCGATCGCACCCGACCCGACCTGATCCCTTCCTCAATGAGCACCCCTTAAAGATTTATATTGAGTTTGAGAGAAAGTAAGATTGAAACCAACTACTGCTACTGTGCAGGGTGAGGTGAAGGCCATCAATGCCTTTTTACAATTTCTTGCGGGCCTTATGACTTTTGAGTCACTACTGACAATTGTGATCACTCTAAAATAATGATTTGTCCAACAGTGTCAGTTTTGACTCTGCTGCATGGGCCTACGCAGTGACTACGTGTGCCCAGAGAAGGACTTCAGCCTCGCTTTCCTTTGTTTGTGAAAAAGTTCATTCTCAAAGAAACTTCTATTACAAAAAAATTAAGGTAACCGTTTATATTTTTATAATTTATAATAAGTAAGTAGAAAGATGGGGTGGAAGGGGGTGGAAAGAAAGTTGTAAGCAAAAGCGAAAAAGGGTGAAGTGAGCAAGATCATTCTTTTATGCTCGCAAACTACATTCAGGATGCCGTGAACGTAGTCACTTTGAATAAAATATATCTGGGAAAAAGAAATTCTATAGTCTTCAATGACACTGTCTGTCCAAAATGTCTTCTACCTGCTGAAGACAACCATTTATCTCCTCGACAGTGTGGGTGGTCATTTTTGAAAATTTTGACTGTATCGTATATACCCTGTTGTTGTTCTTTTAATATCATGTAGATGCCCAGAATGCATTTGTCCATGGATACGTATTGTCATGCACAGTGAGTTCAAGAGGTAGAACAGGGATGCCAAATCTCAGGTTTTTCCGGCTTTTTCAGTTGTTTTTTTTCCAAAAATCATTTAGCATCCCTGAAGAAAAAGGCCACTGACATAAGGTCCTTCTTCTCAAGACAGAAATGATATTATTGAAATTGATTATACACAGCAAAGGCCCCATACACTTGCGAAGGAAAGGGGAGAGGTAGGAGAGATGTTTTTGCTTGCTCATTTAAAAACTTTTCTAGGTTCGTTTTAAGTGAGATGTGATGTGCTCCGCTCATTTTCATTTTTTTTTTCAAAAATCTTTTGGCATCCCTGGTAGAAGTTCTCCTTATGAGACAAGATTTAGAAATTTTATACTATACACCCTGTTTACTGTTTGTGCTTTTGACTTTGAATAATACCATTTTTATATATATATATATATATATATATATATATATATATATATATATGTATATATATATATATACATATATATATATATATATATACATATATATATTCCAAAACGCTTTCATTCATTTTTTGTTCTCAGGCATCAGTCTGTACGAACAGAATGACTGTTTGTGTTTCTAGTTTTCTGTTTGTCATTGTCGGCATTTTTTAAATAAGAATTTTTTTCCTTTCGTGTGCCACAGTTGACAGAGAGGTGTTTACTTTATCGGGACTTTATCCAAAAGTGATGTACACATCAGTGTCTGTGTCAATGGAAGACTCTTGTGTCGTACGGGGCGAGCAAACTCTGTGGTGTGTGTGATGAATGTCTCAAGCAGTGAGTGACTCGCCAGACCGCTCACTCACATGGTAAGAAAATGGCTAGAGAGGAAAATTTTATAAAAGTGAATTGATTTTTAACAGGATATCAACTGGTTTATGTTTGTAAGACTCCTCTGTACGTCATTTGAAAATGTGATGTATGACAATCTTAATTTGAAATGTCAATATATAGATATATATTATATGTATTTGCATCGGTTAAACTGGGCCATTCTATGAAAATTTAAAGTGCGGTGACACATAATTCTGATTTGATGACATGCTAAAATGTATGTGTCCCTGGAGAAAGATCCCAGTTGTCAGATATTTTGGACATTGAAATAAGAGCACATTCCTGTAGAAAGTTCAATGCTGAGCACACTGATTTTTTAGTTTTTCAATTATCTTGAGTAGCTTTAATAATAACATACATATTGAAGGGATTTTGTGATATTTTAAGTCTAAAAATTTCTTTTTATTAGTTACTTTTGCAACTGTTGTACTTCATCAAAGGTTAAAAATGTGGGTTAAATAGAACAACTAAATCTTTGACCAGGTACGACTTTTTGGGGCTTTTCTCCTCTTGGACAGTATCATGATATGATTTCACCATATTGTGTTGGAGAATGCTTGAGAGCAGGAGACATACCACTCAAGTTATGGCCACAAACCTTGAATATAATTCCCCCCACCGAAACCACAGGCTATTTTTTAGTGATGTTTTGCGGATCAAAGTTTCAAAATCTTTATTTGTCACACTGAATAACTTTCAGCGGTCTGATGTTTCATAATAATAATGATAATAGATGGCATTTGTATAGCGCAAATCCCCGATCAACAGCAATCTTTTCTCACTTCACAATCTATACTGGATGTTTCAGGAGTCATCGAAGGAACAGGCGGAGAACCGCCAGGGCCTGGGGTCTGAAGAGGCAGTGGTCAGTCTCTGTGAGGAGATAGAGACGCTGGTCGCGAGCCATGAACAGCATCTGGCCAAGACGCGATGGAGGAGGTTCCTGGCTCAGGTGACGCACACGTCCTCATACTACACCGTAGTCTCCTACTTGTGCGTTGTGGTTGTCGCGGTAACTTTGTTGATTGCTGCGTCGATGGAGGACTCAGAAAGGTAACTCTAACTGTTTGTATAGTCGAAACCTGTCCAAGATGGCAACCCATTGTCAAGGAGAAAAATGTGAGACGTGCTGACAAAATAAGTGAATTCTTGGCTTTTAGCCCCATGGACAGAGAAATATGCGTCAAATGTATATAAAGGTTTATTTTGTACAATTTATTATTTGAAATAGTAAATGATATATTTAACTTAAAGAAAATAGCATCAGTTTAAAATCTACAAATTTGATGTGTCTTGTTTTCGGCTGACATCTCTATTCGTTAACATTGAGAAGCAACTATTTTGTCAGAATGCCTCACAATTTGTTGTTTCAGACAGATGGACATCTTGGACAGTATTATTACAATAGTATTTTTAAGAATGGAGGGGGATTGGATGAAAAGAGGTCATTTGTACTGGTGATTGTGCTTACCAATAATATCATGCAAGTGGTCGAAAGGAGGGGGCGGATGGGGAGGGGGGTGTGATTCATTTCATTCTGTTCTTTAAGTTAAACGAAAGTATAATGGCTTTGAGATAAAAGTATAATGGCTTTGAGATAATGTGTAACTGTGATGGGTTCTTTTTTGTGTTCTTTTTTTTTTTTTTTGTTACAATGCGACCCCTGTTTGTTGTAAATTGGAAACAAACAGCTTTCCTTGAATTCAAATCTGTTTCTTTCCTATGTGCAATTTTCAAGAAGTTGGCGTATGTTCCTTCTTTCCTATCAAACAAATATCGTTATCTCTCCTCCTTCTTTTCTTTGTTATTCTCCAGTAACGCCTCTTATCTTCGGCTCTTATATGACCAATTTGTAGCAGACTCTTACTGAAACTACAACTACGTGCAAATTCCTTTCTCTCCAGATTCTCGTCCGGGTCAAAAGGCTGGCTCATCACGGAGGCTCTCGTGCTGCTGGCCTCTGTGGTGTTCAACACGCTGCTCATTGCCCTGAGGGTGAAGCGACAGACGGCCAAGCATATCGACACCAAGCGAAGAGTGATTGATAAAATGCAACGTAAGTCAGAGATTTGAGAAATGTTTAGTAAGGTTTTTACGGCACTGGCAACAAAAAATAGATCATGTAGGTGTTGAAGATATGAGGTGTTACTTCTAGAGAGTAACATACAGAGCAAGAAAGGAGGAGAGATGAGGATGATTGATGTTTGATAGGAAAGAAGAAGCGAACCACACCAGAGCACCCACCAACTTCCCATTAAGTCAGAAGTTGATCAAAGTAAAGTGAAATGAAACAAGTAAAAGTGATATGCAATATGATACTTGAATAGTTTTGTTTTTTCCTCTTAAAGAGCTTGTTTTCGTTTCCCTTCTTTATTTTCTGTTGAAAGAATGTGTCAGGTTTTTTTCTCTTTATTATCTGATGAAAGTGCATGGGTTTTTTTCCTCCTTATTTTCTGTTGAAAGTGCATGTTTTTTCATTTATTTTTATTTTCTTTTGAAAGAACGTTTCATTTCTCTATTTTTCAGAGAGCATCCGGTCGGAGGTGTGGAGTGCGGCCAGCAGTCACCCGGACCTCCACACCCCACTGTCCCCATGTATCTCCCTGCAGTGGTGTGTCCGCAGTGGCACGATGCTCAACCTCCCCCAGGCTGTGCTGGTCAGCGGTGACCTCATCGTGCTGAGGCCTGGTCACGCCGCTCCTGGGTTGTGTGACTCGTTAGATGTACGTGGCTTTGCTTGGTGGTTTTTCTTGTTCATTGTTAATTTATAATAAAAATAATAATAGAAATCATTTGTATAGCGCAAATCCTCGCTCAGCAGCAAGCTCTATGCGCTTCACAACCTACACTATTACCCCAGCATACCTGAAAGCATTTTGAAACAACCTCAACTTCCTGGGAATCATACAGTGCAAATGGTCATTTATAGGTGCGAAAACACTAACATACTGACTAGATCTTTCACTATTTATGGTTGGGTACCCATTCCCACCTGAGTGAAGTGTTGAAAATTCGTGTAAAGCTTCTTTCCCAAGGAAACAACGTCAGGACCGCGGCTCGACCCCCGAACCCACAATCTCTTGATTACAAGTCTGGTAGCCTAACCGCAAGGCCACCCATGCCACATACAAATGATAGTAGTAATGGTACTCAATATTCACCGTCCATGGTTTTTTAATTTTTTGTTTCATTCTTTCTCTTTCTTTACCATTCAGGGCAACACAAGCTTGCAGTCAGGAGAGATCTTCATGCCCCATCACACCTGTGTGCCCGGCGAAGGACCTCAGCCTCGCATTCCATTGTCTGCGAAAAAGTTCATTCTCAAAGAAACTCCTATTGTAAAAAATTTAAGGTAAACATTTATTTTATAACCAGAAAGATAAAAATTAGCTTTATTGGTAAAGTGCTTCAAGGGCACAATTTGGCGATCCAAAGAGCAACGCACATGACCCGTATTGGACAATTGCATCTCCCCTCGACACTGTACGGTATAAGAGGCCAAAAGAGGAAAAGTAAAATAAGTTACAACTTAATGTTGGTCGCGTGTTCAGAATTGTCAGTTTGAATGCATCTCTACTTCTTGTTTTGAAGCAAAGACGCCTGATTTTTATTTGTACTTTTTATAACTTAATTCTACTCGAGACAGATGGCAGCATCTACTTGCATTTTTAGTTTTGTACATGAACAAAATAAAGACAAGGGAACAATAGTCCAGTATGTTGTGTAACTGTTTTCAGAAGAAAAATGATTTAGGAAAATGTGTGAGAGAAGATATTCCTTTTACTTTCACATCTTAAAACAATCATTTTTCAGTCACGATATTTCTAAGATGAAGCCACACTTTTTAGGGCCAAGATTTATGAATGGACAAATCAAATTTAGAGTCGGGAACAATATATTTGAGGTGCAGAGATAGTGAAGAAGACCTCTGTTTCAGGCTCATGTTGCAAGAACCGGTGCTGAAGCCGGCGAGTTTTCTGGAAAACGAGCGCTACAATGTGTGCAATGTCTGGCTAGAGAGAAGAGTTCTGCCCATCACTTTGGTGAGATGTGGTTCCTTTGCTACTGTTGTTGTTCCCTCATTTCTGTTTGTTTTGTAGTTGGTGGGTGGTTGGCAGGTGTTCTGGTGTGATTTGCTCCCTCTTCCCCATCAAACTTCTGTCGGTGGATAGTTGGTGGGTGCTCTGGTGTGGTTTGCTCCTTTTTTCCTATCAAACATCTATCGTCCTTATCTCCCCTTCTTCTTTTTTATGTTTGTTACTCTCTTGTAACACCTCTAATCTTCTGGCGCTCATATGGCCTTATGCAGTTGCGAGCGCCAAAAACCTCTACTAAAACAAAACAAAACTTCTGTCGTCCTTGTATCTCCTCCTGTCTTTTTTTATGTTTGTTACTCTCTTGTAACACCTCTAATCTTCGGCACTTACATGACCTTATTGTGTTGCTAGTGCCGTAAAACTCTTACTTACACATGTTTTGTTGCTGTTTTAATCGATTCAGGAGTTTGAAGTGTTCAAATGAGTAATTTTCACCTCCTTCCTGTTTCTTAAGAGTGCTACATTGTTGTAATAGTCAGAACATGTGTACTGTTTGAGTATTATTATTGTATTTGTGCTACTATTATTATTGTATTTGTGCTGTCTAGTAGAGGTTGATCGCTCTATAAATGTTGTTTATTATTTTTCATTTTTATTATTATTATGCAAAAATAGTTCAGTAATGATTTTTATTATTTTAAAAATTTTTCCCTTTTTGGATTTTGCAGCAGTTCAGTTGTCAACATCTTAGTCATAATCATCTTTGGAACTGTGATATTGGTACAGATTCAGAAATGTTTTCTGTTTTCATCTTTTAAATTTTAAATTGTTGAGCATTCCTTGCTCGAAATCTAACCTGTTGCTTAAAGATTTCTTTTTTTAAGGATTGATGACTACCTCTTCGGTTTCATTACTAGGACTGATTTGAGCATTTTGTTTGAGGACACTGTAATCTCTTTATCTCTCTCTCTCTCTTTATCTCTCTCTCTCTCTCTCTCTCTCTCTCTCTCTCTCTCTCTCTCTCTCTCTTTCCCTGACCCACTTTTCATCTGCATGTTTTAGGTTCCTGTCTTTTCCCCCTCCCTCTCTCACTATCTCTCTGACTCACTTTTCATTGGTATGTTTCAGATTCTCTTTCTTGTCATGAATGTTTTGAGACATTTGTACATAGATCCAGAGGGAGGACATTGGTCTGAAATCATCATAATCCTTCAGGTGAGATTTGCGACTGCAATAAAAATTGTTCAAGACTTCATACCTTCTTCCCTTACTTCAAGACTTGTAAGATCACGCAGGGGCACACCTCAAAAAACAAAGAAAGAAAGATATAGAATAATTTTTTTTACCATCTAGAATAAGGCTATTGTCAGAATAAGCATAATGTGTATAGCTCTTTAGAGTATGTATCTATGAGTATATAACTCCAGAGGTCTTGTAATCAAATTCCTGCATGTGGTTGAATGATGCGTCTGATGTGATATGTACATTTTGTCAGCTTTACTTCTCTTTTCATGTTGTATTTTAATGAGAGTAATCTATAATTAAAAATGTTATGTATACCTTCATGTGTTTTTACGGTCCTGTACAGCCAAGAAAAATTTCCCTCCGCGATAATAAAGTATTATCTTATCTTATCTTAACCATTGTCGAGGAGAACAGCTGTTATCTTAGACAGTGGACATCTGGGGCAGTGTCATTGTAATAGTCTGTGAAAAACGCAAGTTGGGAAGTGGGACTTTGCTGTTTGTACAGGTGATTGTCTTGGACAGGTGGCTGTTAGAGCACCAGGTGATTGTCTTGGACAGGTGGTTGTTAGAGCACCAGGTGATTGTCTTGGACAGGTGGTTGTTAGAGCACCAGGTGATTGTCTTGGACAGGTGGTTGTTAGAGCAAGTTTGACTGTAGTAGTATAAAAGGTGTGTATTGCCTCACTTTTGAAATGTCCAGAATTTCAAACTATAGACTAGAACAGTTTTTTTGTTTTTCAAATTGAAGCTTATAACTCTTGTTCTGTGTTGGTTTCATTGTTTCGTTTCCCTTTATGTCCTGTTAGTTTTAAACTTTTCACTAAATTGGGATGGCACCGTCGTCAAAACCTCTCTTTGGCTTTTTTTTCTCTTTCGACTTAGTCTTTTTACCGTTGACACATTATGATTGTGGACAAATTGCTGGCTCCAGTCAGATGCTCTTCATATTATGTCTCTGTTCTGTCTTTTATTCATTCTTTTGTTCAAGGCACAGGATGATGATTGTTACTGTCACAGGAGTGATGGTGGTGGTGGTGCCATTTGTCAGTGTTCTTCTCATATTTCCTGTATTTTTCATTGAAGAGAACAATTATCGGCCTCCACATTAGTTTTCAGTTTTGCCAGATATTGGTTGTGTCTAATGATTATTTTCTGTATTTGTAATTGCGTCTTCGTAAATTTTCCATTTTATTCTAAAGATCCAAGAGACACAAAACTAAATGAGTGGTTGGTTGGCGGGTGAATTCGTGTGGTTTGCTTCTTCTTTCCTCTGAAACATCTATCGTCCTTATCTCCTCTTTTTCTTTTTTATGTTTGTTACTCTCTTGTAACACCTGTAATCTTCTGGCGCTCATATGACCTTATGCTGTTGCGAGCGCCGTAAAACCTCTACTGAAACTAAAACTAAAGATCCAAGAGACACAAGAATGAGTGGGTGGTTAACGGGTGCTCTGGTGTGGTTTGCTCCTTCTTTCCTATCAAACTTCTATCGTCCTTATCTCTCCTCCTTCTTTGTGTATGTTTCTCTCTTGTAACACATCTATTCTTTGGCGCTTATATGACTTTATTGTGTTGCAAGTGCCGTAAAACTCTTACTAAAACTAACTTGAGTGTTAATTGTCGTCCCCTCCAGGTTCACGGAATTCTCCCAGTGATCCCTGTGTTGCTTCCCTTCCTGTGGACCGCGGTGAACACGTTTGGGCAGGCGCACATCTTGTCATCGTTTGACATCTTCCGAACACTTGTGGTGAGGCTTTTTTAAAAATTCATGTATTGTCTTACTCTCATTGCCAAGGCTTTCTTTCTCTCACGGGTGTGGGTGGTTGGCAGGTGCTCTGGTGTGGTTTGCTTCTTCTTTCCTATGAAACATCTATCGTCCATATCTCCCTTTCTTCTTTTTTGTTTGTTACTCTCTTGTAACACCTCTAATCTTCTGGCGCTCATATGGCCTTATGCAGTTGCAAGCGCAGTTAAACCTCTACTAAAACTTAACTAAACTCTCTCATGGGTAAAATTGAAGGTGAACAAGACCCAGAGTAATTTATTTAGAAAGCCTGAATTGATGGGTGACAGGGAAAGACCACGAGATGACAGGGTTTTTTTATAAGAGCAACGGAGCAAAGAAATGAATGGAGTAATGTGATTGCAGATGTTTAAAGTAGTTGTTTTTACTCCCCCATCAGTACAATTTAGATAATTTTGGAGCTATGGCTTCAAACCCTGCCCATCAGGGCTATCCCGGGCTGAGAGGGATACAACATCTCAGTAGAAAGACTGAGATACTTGATGAAAATTTCTCCCCTCTCAGGTATCCAACTCCGGTCTGTGGGTGGTTGGCGGGTGCTCTGATGTGGTTTGCACATTCTTTCCTGCCAAACATCTATCGTTCTTGTCTCTCCGCCTTCTTTTTTGTGTTTGCTACTCTCTTGTAACACCTTTAATCTTTGGCACCTACATGACCTTATTGTGTTCCAAGTTCCGTAAGTAAAACTCTTACTAAAACGAAAACAGAACTCTGGTCTCCTGCATGCAACAGAGAATCAATCTAACAGCAACACCACCGCTTTTTCATTGAATTAAAAGATGGCCGCCATTTGGGTTCCAGGATGTGACCGAGTCGACGGAGAGCTTGGGCAGCTGCAGCAACATCTCGGTGGAGGACGCTCAGATCAGCATCACGTGGAGGGAGACGATGCACAGCTTCTGGAGCATGTTCTGCGGCACCAAGCCCTTCTCATGCCCCGACTTTGACATGCTCCACGCCTTGGGGAGCGTCACCGTGAGTGCTGTTACAAAAACAAAAGTTTATATGTATGTGAGGTGTGCTGTGCTGACAAAATGAGTTACTTCTCGCAATCCACAAAGGGGGTATATGTGGGTGGTTGGCGGGTGCTCTGGTGTGGTTTGCTTCTTCTTTCCTATCAAACATCTATCATCGGTATCTCCCCGTTTCCTTTTTTAATGTTTGTTACTCTCTTGTAACACCTCTAATCTTCTAGCATTCATATGACCTTATGCAGTTGCGAGCGCCGTAAAACCTCTGCTAAAACAAAAGGGTGTA